GAATAGTAATTTCAATAAACTAAAACGCCTTTAAATAAGGCAAGGTCAGAATTTTTTTTAAGTACTTCGCAGTACAATACTACGTTTTATATGTTTGAATTATTGTTATGTCAGTTAATTATTGGTGGGGGCCAAATTAATAAAAAAAAATACCTAATTCGCAGTATAGTACTGCGAATTAGCTAAATAAAAAATTTTATGATACGCAGTAGAATACTGCGAATCAATAATTTTTTAACTAATTCGCAGTACTCTACTGCGAATTAGCTTAACGGCTAAATTTCCGTTAAGTCAATTCGCAGTATAGTACTGCGAAGTGCCTATTTGTGTAACTTTTTTTTTTAGCATTAAAAATGTGGTTTTTGTCCAAAAAAGCATCAAAAAAGTTTCGGACTCGTTGAATCACTTAAAAGTTATTGGGTACTTCTTTTGCCCCTGCAAATTACCGTTGTTAATTAGCTTGGATTTCTTAATTGGTATAGAAGTAGAGCTAATTAGCTTTGAGAGTCATATTAGTGCAGCAAAATAATGGATTAGACAATGCTAAAAGAGCCTTAATTTGAATAGCTGTGAAACATACGGAGTATAATTTAATGACAGAAGAAGGTTGCAGATTAATTAAATTGAACAAAGCGTGAATATAATATAATGGTAGAAGAAAATTATGTGTAAGTCTAGCTCTGGAGTCTTCAATCTTGACAAGCCTTTTATTTCTAGAATACATTTGACCTACAAGATTATGAGGATGCTGACGTGGATGTGCGGGCACATTAGGATAGACAAGATTAGGAATGAAAATATTCGGAAGAAGGTGGGTGTGGCCCCTGTGGATGACAAGATGCGGAAAGCAAGGCTCAGATGGTTTGGGCACGTGCAGAGGAGAAGCCTAGATGCGCCGGTAAGGAGGTGTGAGCGGTTGGCCGTGGTGGGTACGAGAAGAGGTAGAGGGAGGCCTAAGAGGTATTGGGGGGGAGGTGATCAGGCAGGACATGGTACGACTGCGGATTTCCGAGGACATGACCCTTGATAGGAAGGTCTGGAGGTCAAGCATTAGGGTTGTAGGTTAGGGGGTAGTAGAACTTTCCTTACTTCATTCCGGGGGTGAGGCGGGGTTGGATTAGGGTTGATCTTAGATAGCTTGCAGTTTATGCTGAATACACTCTGTACTTGCTGTTTATCTTAGCCCTGGGCCTTAGATACTGGTTACTGTTATTGCATGTCTTTCATCTTTTGGTTGTTATGCTTTCGTTACTATTACGGTTTATACTGGAGTTACTAATGAGTTGTCTTTTCTTGTTTTTTTTTTTTTATTTCCGTTTTTCTGAGCCCAGGGTCTATCGGAAACAGCCTCTCTGCCCTATCGGGTAGGGGCAAGGTCTGCGTACACATTACCCTCCCCAGACCCCACCTGATGGGATTTTACTGGGTAGTTGTTATTGTTGTTGTTGTTGTATTTGACCTACACTAACAAAAGAGATTTATTCCTATGGAGTAAAAGTCCTTTAATTTGCTCCATGAAGGAACATTTGCTAATAACCTTCCTAAACTGTATCCTTAGTTCTAACACCAGCTTTGGTTTTACTTTCTAATCAAAGTTTTTCATTTGTCTTGAGACTAATAATTAAATCACTTTTGTTTCCCCCAATGTAACAGAGGAAGGAGAAATTGAACTGCATTTACAAGGGAAACTAGACCATTTTGACACCAATTTTATCCAGTCTACAGCATATCTAGCAATTCATGAATAAAAGAATATACACCATCTCTAAAACTCACTCAAAACCCATGTCTTTACAAATAGGGAAAAATAACTGAAATCGAAAAAAGAAGGAAGTAATTCTTCTATAAACAACTTTGTCAATAACTTGTCCTCCTGTGACAAATATGATCTCTCAAACGTCCCTCTACATCTTCCTGTCTCGAATAAGACTGGATGGCCTTAAACCTTTCTTGATGTTGTTGGCTATCTCTGTCAAGATATCTTCAACCTACAGAAGATGTCCCTACTCCTAGCCAGAGACTTGAGCTTGGATTTCAAATTTTAGCCTACTTTGTCAAGTCTTCCAAGTATGAATATCAACTCTACTCACTTTCAAATTTCAATTCAATGGGACTTAAAGAACTAATCCAACTTACACTTGATCCGGTGAAATTAAATTGTCTTCAAACAATTTCCAGGGAACCATTTGATCTCGTGGACCCTGATTTGGTGGAACTGTTCTTGGTTACAGAATGAGGAATGGATCGCGTGGAACTGTTCTTCGTTACAGAACCTTCCTTAGGATTGGAATACATGATCAATGTTTTCACTACTTGTCTGAATTTCCTTCTATAAGTAGGAAACTTAGAAACACTTCTAACCATTCCCACCATCCTGCCAAAACCAACAAGAATAAATCTTGTTTCAACCCTTCAAATGTTAATGAAAATTTAAACAAGAGGCTTACCTTCGGCTTATGCCTTCAATTTGAGCAGCTCTAAGAGAATCTTGAGGCGCCAAGCTTCCATTTTCCCAGGCCTTAAAGCGTTCAGAATTGCTTTCGAAAAGTACAACTTTCTCTAAAAACCTCATTTCACCTTCTTCTAGACTTAGGACTCTAATTTGTTCCTTTAGGACCATAACTGGTTGGAAAAACCAGTCCAATAATCTGTCTTGAGGTCTGTTCAGGTGAGTGATCTCAAGATCCTCGAGAAGGAACAACCCGTACGATCCAGCTTTAATGGAATAGAAGATGATCTGTAGAAATGTATAACATGGTAAACCAACATTCACGACTGCAACATCAAGTCCGTGTTTCGCCTTCAACCAATCATCTAGGTCGCTGGGAGTTATCACTTTCGCGTCCAATAATTCCTTGCCCCTTAATTCACATGATCTTATCATGTTCTGCCACACCTGTTACATTTTTTGTGAGATGCCAATTACCCAAATTCATAGTTTCCTAGACAAGAAATAGGATTCAGTATATGAAATATAATTTGAATTGTGTGACCATCTCACTGGCCCCTTTCTTTACTTAATTATATTCTCAACGTAGTTATAGGGTCATAGGGATGTTTACTCGAGTAGATCATTTCACATGTTTGTCAGCATTCTTGCTAATTTAGCCTTTTCTTCCGGTGTACTTTTTACTAAAAAAACCTGTAAAACAATGCAGAAAGAAAAGCATACCTGCACCATTTTCACTTCTTGTATTGCCTCCCTGACTGATCTAGATGAGGTTAGGCTCGGCACAAGCATTGCAGGTGCTTCAGCAAATATAGAGTTTAATCTGCCTTGTACTGAACCATTTCGTTTCACAGAGTACTCGGACGAGTTGGATGACTTCTTGTTTCGATAACGAGGCCTGGCAAAGATTAAGCTGATCAGTAACTTAGATAAGAAAACAGCACAGAGTAAAAATGAAGAACTTGAGTAATTACTTTGGAAGAATGGACCCTTCTCGAAGATAAAGCCAATCGTTTGTATACTCGTCAAACTCTGCCACCATTGCAATCACAAAAGCAACACCTCTTTGGAAGGACCTTTCCTGAATTCAGATAGTTTTACTTATAATAAATCCGACTGTCACACTAAAATAGCAGAATTGAGAAAGTAATGAGGCAAAGAGATAAATAATTACCTGATAGACAATAACAGCACCATATAATCCAATGAAAAAGCTAGAGAAGATAGCCATTACAACACTTCCAATGACAACAAGAGGCCACAGAAGGATAGTCAATCCAGCAATAGGAATGCAAGCAGTTTCAAGAAATGGACCTTCGCGACTGATCAGATCATGTATGAGTCGGTACCATCCCTTGAACAACATAAATGGGCTCTTGACTACGGCTATAGCAGTGTAAAGAGGAATTTCCACAATCAGACCTAGTATACCAACCATGATACATCCTGGTACATGGATGAATCTGCAATAGAAGATTAAGCATATTACTATATAATGTGGGAATTGTGAAATACTGGTAATCAATTCCCTGGACATCCACCATTCAATTCAACTATCCGCTGGCTATTAGTGTATTTTAACCTTTTGAAGCAGGTTATTATACGACATAAGTTACCCAACTAGGAATACTATAGATGGTTAACTGTTGTTGTAGGTCATCTTAACTTTATGGTGTAAAAATATTGTACGATGTTCGTACACATAATTTAATCTCTTTTTGAATGGCTTCATCTACCTTATTTTTGGGTAATGTCTGCTACTTAATACTTATAAAACTTCCTAGAATTCATCCAAAAAAATTTCTTCTCATCTTCACTGATTAGTTCTTCAGACTTTTTCTTATCATTTTCTAGTTTCTACACTTAGCATTACCTTTTTTCCATCTTATTTTTCTTGATTGCTACTCTTTTTCTTTTCTTCCTCAGTATACTATTGCTAGTGTCGAAAATATCTTAATGTGATTATTGAGGGCACAGAGGCCGAGCTAGAATTTGAAGTTTATGAGTTCTGAATTCATCACCGAACCCATAACTCGTCTTAGCTAATGGGGTTTGCAATTAAATATTTATATGTATTTTATGAATTTTCTAATACAAACACTGAGTTTAAGGAAAAGTTACCGGATTCGTTGAACCCGTAGTTAATGCTCTCCCTCCGCCCCTGGGCACGGGGGAAAGTCAACCACATTTATTTTCTGAGTGAAGGGTAGTTTATTGACTTTTTCCTCAAAATAGAAAATGAGCATGATACCGTGTACAACAATGAGACATATGATTCTCCCCTATTTCTTTTTTCTCTGAAAGTTTATATATAGAAAGAAAAATTAGAAACAAACCTAAAAGGTTGAAGGTGAAGAGAAGAAGGCGAATCACGCAGCTCTTTCAAATACATTGGATAAGAATGATAACACATATCTGCACAATCTCGGACGGCAATGCAGCTACCTTTTATGGTTCCCCATGTTCCATCCTAAAAGTTGACCAAATAAAAAACAAAAACAAAAAGACATTACTATAATACTAACTAAACTGCAGTACCAAACAAGAAGGGATTCTTACCACAATGCAATGAATAAACTTGTTAAATTCGTCGTCATGTCTAAAAGCTTCAAAAGCAGAAACCCAGGGAGCAAAGAAGCCATATCCAACTCCCACAAGAAGAGTACCAGCTATGCTTAAAACCAACCATATTCCAAATAACGCAGGCAAAGCAAACAAGAAAACAACTTTAAGTGGCGCATCAAATCTATTAGTCCTGTTTAAGAACGAATTAAGAAATGCATGTTATAATCATAAAAAAAAAAAAAAAACAGAATTCAACTTTGGACAACATAATTGAATGGCCTAAGAAAAGCATTTAATTTACTTGAAAAGGGTGTAAACTGTCCAGAAAACATGTGCTGGGAAGAGACATAGGATTACTCCAACATTTCCTATGATAAGTATAAGGCCAGCAATTGGACCCACTAACACACCTGCATCATCAAAATTTTGGAATTGAGAAGCAAGAATGACACAGAATATCAGAGCGAATAATCACAAATTCAGATATTTAAGGGTACTAACTTTTAAGAGCACCCAAAAGTAAAGCAGAGCAAAACGCAAAAACCACATAGACGGCATTGACCCAATTGTCCACGTTGTTGGACATGTCTAGTTTTATGAACTAAGAAGGACAATTTTGTTGAAATTAAACTTGGGATGAGAGAAAAAAAGACAAGAGACAAAGTATGATTAGCTTGAAACCAAGACTCTTTAAGAGTTATTGCCTTGCTCCATGACGTAAGGAGGGTGCTAATTTTGCTTAGTCATTGGAACATAATTTTGCAGGACTTTTCTTGCTTGCCTATTTCTTTCATAAATTAAAGTCAGCCAACTTATTTTGAAAATCCTGGAAACACCAATAAAAAATATATATTTTTGTCTTCTAGAAACTGAGGCGAACAAGTTGAAATATTGTTTATGCTTCAAAAGGAATAGCTTCTACTACTTGATTTCTTCTCATAATAATTAATATACCTGAAGTTCTGCTACCTATTTTCAAATGACTAAGATATTAGTACAACTTAGACTGCAAGAAATCCACAAAAAAATTAAGCCGAATTTCTAATTTTAGATATTACCAATAAACTGCTACTATACTATAAATTGAAGTTGCAGTTTCATGATTTGTTTCTTTTTATTTGATTATCTGGTATTCAAAATCTATCGATTTCAATAATTCGGATTTTCGAAAGCACACTATAAAAAGTTTAGCATAACAAAATTCCCTCACACATTCACCGCCTGCTCGTATCTCAAAAAAAAAAAAAGAATTAAAAAGAAAAATGTTACAAATACTACTTATTTTTCTGTGTAATATGACTAGAAGAGAAATGGGGGTTAAAACAAATTTTCTTTTTGGGGCAAAATAAGCCTTACATACTAGATTTGTTGAAGATATATATGGGCAATGTATTTTTTTTTTCCTTGTAATTGCATGTGCTTTTATTACAAAAGATTATGAAATGAAAATAATAGTAGTGAATAGTGATAAGATAAGAAGCAAAGGAGGCATGTGGTGGGTTACGTGTGAAGCACAAAACAGAAAAGTTGCCGTCCTCCGACTGGGGATAGTCAACGCTAGCAGGCGATTAATTTTGACTCAAGTGAAGACACCGTCATGTTTTAGCTAATTGTTCCATAAACCTTTCAATTCATTTTCCTTAACCAATTCTCTTCCCCTCTGGCAACAACATAAAAAACATAACCACTAACCTCTAATACATGTTCCTAGTCCAAGAATGATTTGTTTTTGTCTTAGTTATCACCAAACCTCAATCAATAAAATAGTCTTTCAATTGAAAATTTATATTTATAAGCATAAGAATATAATTAACAAGCTGCTGATCAATTTTAATCAAACTCTTCCCCTTTTTTCTAATTCAACGCTTTTCTATCTTTTAATTGGTTGTTTTAATCTTCGCTTCATGTTCCTGCCATGGGGGGAAAAAACTATACACACATATATATATATGTGTGTGTATTAGTGAACCCCATCAATTTGGTCCCTAATCTACTGAATTGCATGTATATAGTTATCACAATATATATAGTTGTCTATAGTTCTTTCATACATTTTCCAAAGAGCTAAAAAATTGGCCTAAGTGATTAGTGAACCCCATCAATTTGCTTTATATATAAGTCAAGCATAGTTATTATAGTCTTTTACCATAAATAAAAGAGGAAAAAGTCATACCTGTTTTAGTATGTGGTTTAAGTGCACCTGATCAAAAGAGATTAGAGACCAAGCCAGGTAGCACTCTTGCTTGACATTGTGACGAGTAAGTCCTCTTTCTTTTTTGATATTTTCGAATTGCACTTGATGATTGTGAATTCACTTGATATAATTTTTCTTTGGAAAGCGGAGTTGTACTCGCAAGAAAATTGGATACTGAAATTATGCGTATGGAATTAAAACGATAAGGAAGTTTACAGAAGTAATCTGTACTTTTGGTAATCTCCTAGTTTGATGGCTTACTTCAAACAGGAGCAAAAGATAACATAAGATGAAGGTGCAAAAACTAACTCGAGAAGCTTCTTTAATTTCAGTGCTGTTTAGAGATACTTGAAAAGGGTCCTGAGCACTGGATCTAGCCTGGATACGAATAAGTATTTAACCTACTAGTACTTGACTCAAATTGCAACATCTTGACTAAATACTGGTTATACATGGGCCGCCGCTCGTTAATAGGTGAATGTTGAATACCATCCTCTAATTAACAAGTAGTAAATTATGATGTATGAAGTCGACTAATTCGAATAGGTAGTATGAATTTTGCTTGTTCCTTATATGCCTATTGTCAACGAATGGTCTTCTTTAGTCCCAAGTCTATTCCGTGTTTTACTAGACTGGCACCAACTCTTTCTCCAGTGTCAGGAAATCCAAGGAGTGTTAGCACACACGTGTAAACCAGGTGGCTAAGAATCATCGTTAATAACCATAACTAGACTAGATACTCCAACAGTAAATCAGTGCCCACTAATGACTAATCCCATTGTTGCAGGAAAGATCAAACCACAAAATGCATCTGTAATTGTGTTTGTGGATGTTTCTTTAACCGTTCAACCAAACGAAACGGCCATCTAATATACCCTCGACCCAACACCTAAGCTAAAACACCCCTCTCTCTTTTTCTCTCTACTAGTTTTCCAGCCAGGAGTGGTAGGAATAGGATCTGCTAGTACAATCCTTATTCCAATTATGAAGATAAAAGTAGTTCATCGAAGTGAACCCCCAACTCAAGAACATCGTATTTCCTATCCAGATACGCCCAAGAAGGAAGTTTTTGATGAGGAACCACTAGGAACTCAACTCCCTGAACCTGAACCTGAACCTGAGCCTGATTCTGCAATACCCAACTCAAGCAAAGACAACAATTTGATTCTTGTTGATGCCTCCAACCCTATTAACTCTGTAACCCCATCTGCCCAAACTCTCTCATCTTCCTTGCTGGTATTTCTTTTTGCTCTAATTTGTACGTACAAGTTTTGTTTTGCTTTTTGCCTCTCTTGATTTACTGAATTGATTGTTGGATCTGGTTGTTCAGGGTAAAAGAAGGAGGAAGCCCAAGGAGATAATTGATCAGATTTCACCAATTCCCTTCAGGAGGAAGAGGGCAATCAAGAAACAACCTTCTGCTTCTCAATCCAACAATGTGAGACACCCTTCTCTTAAATCAACTATGGATCACTTGATATTTGGTCAAATTTGTTGTTATACTCTTAGCCTGGTTATAACCTTACATTTATTCCCTCTTGTTTGCTGGTAAAGCTTCAACTAATTGCTACAGTAATTTGCAACTCCAAGTCTCTCTAACTGCTCGACCCTCCTTGACAATTAGGATCTCTTCAATTGCAACTTGCATGGACCTGTGACGGGACAATTTTAGCAATCAGGCTGGTGTAATATGAAACCGGGATTGTCTCTAGCCTAAGCCGGCTGTCAAGTTACTTAAGCAACCACAACATTTCCCTGTTGAAAAGACCTATTTCTGTTATAGATTTCTTTAATTAGTCCTTTCAGGTTTTTTGTATGCTTAAATCTGAATCTGAACTGGTTCTTATTAGGTATTTGATCAGTTTAAATAGGGTGGGAATGTTATATGATGTAGAGTTTCTAAAGTAGGAGTGATGATGAAACTAGTTGTGACAGCTGAGTACATCATGAATGGAGCTGATTGGGGTTGACTTAAAGTTGATTCGAACTCATAAAAAATTTGTATTTTTTGAGTGGCTTCAGATTACTCCCATTGGCTAATACTATAACGGGAGGAAATGAGCTTTCAGTTTTTCTGTTATTATTCTGAATAACAAAATAAATTACAAAATTTGAGATTTATATAGTGCAAACTGCATTCTCATTCCCACTCCGTGATGCCAAATACGTAGCTCACTTGGTAGCAATCCCTTTTACTGGGTATCATTTTCCTTCCTGTTGCATTCAATATTAAGATAGTATTTCAGGAGATCTCTGTTGTTATGCCAATTTTAGATTCAGAAAATAGTTGTGATCTTACAAAATTTCCTACATTGTCTGGTTCTAGTCACGTTCCATCACTGTTTATATGTACCAATAAATGATATTAACAGCTGTATTGCTGTTCCGCTTATTCTTGAGCAGGCAGTAGCTGATGCTGAGGGCAAGTCAATTATGTGAGTGTTTTTGTACAACATATTCTTTGAATATTCTTACACAATTGCCAACCTTTGATACTTGAGAGTGACAGTTTTTTTGTATTTTCATTAAGCACCAAACAAGAGAGGGCTACAGCTGATGGGTCTGGTAGTGCTACCCAAATGAAATCACCAATCATCATTCGAGCAGAGGAGTTCCTGTCAAGTATAGGGAATGAATATCCCAGCTTCATGAAATTATTAGTTAGATCACATGTTGGTAGTTGTTTTTGGATGGTGAGTTTTGTCTAAACAACTTAGCTTTGGATTTAGTTAAGGAAATATTTACTTAACCCTGTAACTTTGTTTACTACCATCCATACAATAGGGACTTCCGGTGCCATTCTGCAAGAATCATCTACCAAGAAAAGACACCCCAGTTATTCTTGAAAGCGAGACCGGCGAAGAATTTGAGATAAAATATATTGCTGAAAAGACCGGACTTAGTGCGGGATGGAGAAAGTATTGCACTGCTCACAAGTTGGTTGAGGGAGATGTTTTAGTCTTCCAACTAGTTGCGCCTACTAGATTCAAGGTGACACTCCAAGTTTCTTTTTATAAACATCTTTTTGCATGTTTGAACTAACCTTTATGCATCGGTTATATGCCATTCCCTACTAGTCCATCTACCAGTACAAAGTGCAGCAGATAACTGTGGTTACTGATAAGCGGGATTGATTTTCTTTTTCCCATTTCCTGGCGTATAAGAATGACGGCACCATGTAAAACCAACTTATCCACATATGACACGTCTATTAGAATTTTGCAACAGGAGTGTGAATTGCAGTAAAAACAATTTCAGCCGGTGCTGAACTATTCAAGTCCAATCATGGAGAGCAGGCATGTTAATCTGTTATAGGTTTGCAAAGAGAACTATCATCGTTGTAAGGTTTGTAGGTATCTGTGAAGAGCTTGTCCCCGGTAAAGGGTTCATTTCTCTTTAGTCTATCGTGGATCCAGATAGAGTATACTATTTGCTGTGGTACACTTCTTGCTTGGTTCGCAGTGTTGTTCTGCTAAGGTCTCATAAATAGTCTCTGGACACTGTCTTATCAACATTACGTTAAGCCCCATATGCCTTCGCTTTAGCAGTTGAACAACTGG